GTGCCTGCTTCGGCAAGCTCAGGGACTGGGGTTTAGTCCCCAGCACCACATGCCTCACTGGCCCCATCCCCGGGTGCGCTGAGTGGGCCACAGAGGTTGGGCGTGGTGGCACACACCTGTAATCCCAGCCTGGAGGAGACTGAAAAGAGGAGGATCACAAGTCTGAGCTGCATAGTGAGACCCTGTACCAAATAAATAAAAATAAAATGAAATGTACCGGGCTGGTGAGATGGCTCAGTGGTCTAAAGCACCTACTTAGAACAAGCTTAGCAAAGCACAAGGACCGCAGTTCAATCCCCCGGCACCACATGCCAGCCAGCCCGCCGCCTGGTGGAGTGAGCTGGCCACACACACACACACACACACACACACACACAAAATAAGTAAATAAAATTAAAAAAAAAAGAAATGTACCAAAAAAGTAACAAGAAAATAAAAAGGGGAGAGAACTGAAAAAAAATGAAATCACAACATTTCATTTGGAATTTCTGCTTTGTTCCTATGTACAGTTCCTGCACCAGCCAATTTATGCTCTGTTAGCAAATGTAACATGAATTGGAAACCAGCAATCCAATTGTCAAATGTTACATTCTGATTAGTTTGAGAGCAACAAAACTGCTTACAACCTGATTTGGTTTATAATTATATGAATAAGGACCTGATGGGTGAGTTCCTGGATAAATTTCTTTCTTTCTTTATTTTTTTTTTCCTGGATAAATTTCTAAATTGAAAGCATAATGTCTTTGCATTTACAAAGGTACACATTTTTATGCCATACATTGACCCATCCTCTTTCATAAGTCTTTTTTTTTTTTTTTTTTTTTTTGTGAAACTGGGGATTGAACTCAGATCCTTGCATTTGCCAGTCAAGCGCTTATCCTACTGAGCCATCTCCCCGGCCCCCCCCTTTTTTTTTTTCATAAGTCTTTTACATTCCTGTGATAACCATGAGAAATCCCTGCTAAGTACAGCAGCCATATTAATGCTTTCAGTTGAGCTAGTGAGATTTCATAATAAATACATTTTTGAGTATGGCTACTTATGCATACAGAATGTTTTCTTTGTATCTCTGCCTCTGTGTATTTTACAGTGTCTTGTAGCATTTTGACTTTTATAATTTCCAATAATATGAGCCGGGGAGATGGCTTAGTAGAATAAACATTTGCCTGGCAAACACAAGGACCTGAGTTCAATCCCTAGTTAAAAAAAAAAAAAAAAAAAAAAAAAACCCAGACCCTGAATGGCAGTGTTGGCATTCTGTCTTATGTTTCACCCCTGCCAAGATTTTCACTATATTTTCAGACCTAGTTCTATTTATTTATTTATTTGTTTTTATTTAGTTATTTTTTTGTATTTTAGGGAAGGGTCTACAGGGTGTTCAGGGTCTCACTACTAGATCAGACTTGTAGTAATCTGCTTCTTTACAGCCTCCCAAGAGCTGGGATTACAGGCATGTGCCACCACACCCAGTCTCAATTGCCATCTCAGTGCGGACCCGGGTGCGGGCCTGGCAAAACAGGCCCAGGGATTGAATCCCCAGCCCCTGCTCCTGCTTGCAGGAGCTTTAATCTGCTGAGCTATTTGGCCAGCCCTCCTAGTTCTAACATTGGATCACACTGTTGGGTTGCATGACCCTTTTGCAACATTCCAACTAGTCAAATATATACTCATATTACTGTTTTTTTTTTTTTTAAATCATCTGAACCAAGGATGTCTGCATTCTCCATCTCACTGTCACAGGAACTTTCACTCACATGGCTGATGTCAAAGTCATCATCATCACCAACCACCCATACCACTCTTCTTCTTTGACAAGGTCTTTGACAGCCTGGCCTCAAACTTGCAGTGATCCTCCTGCCCAGCCTCCAGAGTGCTGACATTATAGGAGTGTGCCACCATTCCTGACCCCACACCACTCTTCTGTTATGAAAACATGTATTTTTGCATAATGGATTATGCTCATCATCCAAGTATGAGTAATCTGATGATTCACTTCTGACCTCCTCCAAAACTTGCAAATCTGGTTTCTCATGAGCCATTGTACTGAACTGGGCTATTTCCAGAAAAATTAAAACTTCAAAATGTGAGTATATTATACCCTCTGAGATGCTCAGGTAAACACAGACGAAAACTGTTCCACAGAACATCATGTCGGTGTAAATCTTGCTTTGACACTTTTGCACACATGCACACATCTTGGTTTTTGTAACAAGTGGGTAAGTGCAAAGATTGTTTTCTGTATCATTCAGGGAAAGGTAATGAGAGGCACAGCTGATTACCATGATGCTAAAATAAAAAGTTACAGCAGAAAAGTAAAGGATGAGTTGGCGAGACTAAGTCCACCGGTGGACTGGAACCTGCAGGAGGGCACAATCCTAGGGCTTCTAAAAACTATCACATAGCCTTACCCTGAAACAGTCTTTGTGTGTCCCTTCTATCCCTTCTGGAAGGGATACACAAAGGCAGAGATACAAAGAAAACACTCTGTATGCACAAATGCTCATCTGGGACATCTGCAGATAATATCTTCTGTATGAATGTACTGAATGTACAGTCAGTACATATCAAATAGACAACTCATACCCCAAATATGAATTTTTCTGATTATTTCTGGTCTGCATTTGAGCTGTGTCTTAACAATTTACTAGAAAATTTTCAGCTATACCTAATTTTCCATTTTTATTTGCCATAATAACCTGTTTTGGGTAATGAATTCAGAATCTGATGGTAGTCTTCAGGCAATCAATAGCAAAATAAATTGAAAGAAGTTTAAACCTATTTTTTTCTTTTTTGTTTTGTTTTTGAGACAAGGTCTTGCTGTGCAGTTCAGGCTGACCTCATTTTGTAGCCCAGGATGGTCTCCCGACTCGCAAAAATCCTCCCGAGTGCTCGGATCACAAGTGTGTGCCTCCATGCCTGGTTTAAGATTTACTATTTTAACAGATCAATTATGTGAAGTTCTAGTGCTCTTGTGTTCCTCTTAATTTTCCTTTTAGGATTACAAGGGGGTGGGTGTGCATCCAACAGGACAACATCCCCCAGAAGAAAGGAAGTAAAAAGATAATTTTCCTTTGAGCTGCTCTAGTCAAGGAGTACAACACTGCCCAGGTACTGTTTTTTTTTAAAAATAATTTTATTGAGAAACAAATAGCAACGAGACAGTTTCAAAACCGATTAATAGGACAGTTTCAACGATTAGTACCCAGGTACTGTTGTTTTCACGTTTCGTCATTTAAGATGGGTGGGAAAGGGAGGATTGATGTACTGGGCCTCGGCAGGGGTAGTGTGGTCTGCGGGCTGAAGAAGGCGTCCTCTGAGCCCTTTTGATGGTTTGTGTTGTGTCATGCGGAGTTCCCAGCGCAGTGGTACAGGGGAGCCCGCTTTGCCAGGCTCGCAGGCATTTGGATCCCGTGCAATAGCGATGGTCTGCCTGAGCGCCACATGGTTTGGATCAGCTGGGGACAGTCACAGGCCAGGACTGACTGCCTGGGTTAAGGTTACACGAGGCCACGCTCAGCTAGAGCTTCTGGCCCGCAGAGCACCTTCCGCAGCCTTCTGTGAGGCCGGCCCGGGTCTGATGGCAGCTCAGTGGTATAGAGGGGTGGGAACTGCAGAGGCTGGGAGCAGAGAATAGAGTTCCCGGAGGGCAGGTGGGGGTGCACGGCCCTCTAGGAAGAGTCCCTACATCAGGTAGAGTCACTCGGCCAAAGCAGCTATACACTTAACTAGACTGAGAGCAGGGGGACCTCATTTCTTCACGGAAGGCGGGTTCAAGAATTAGCCCTGACACTCCCCACCCCCTCAGCAATCCTCATGTAAGCCAAATCCCCACAGATCTCCTTACAGTGTTGCAGTTAAAACATTTCAAAGTCCACTCTTCAATCAGCCATGATGTTACATGTCCTGTTTCTAAAGCTGAAATTCTTTTCTCAATTTGTTTTTGAAGTTTCCCAGCCCATGAATGATATAAAATACTGTCCAGAAACTACTACTGAATGCTTATTGGAATCTGGTCTCCCAAAGGACCAATTCTAGGTCAACCAGAAAAAGGAGTGAAAACGCTGGAATCTTTGTGTGCACGTGTGTGCGGGTGTGTGTGTGCACGTGTGTAATAGATTAACAAAGCAATTGTTCCCATGCCAAAACCATTTCAGTATCATAAACAAGAGCCTTAATAACAATGCTAAAATATCTTGAGCTGGGCATGGCGGTGCACCCCAAAAATTGGGAGGCTGAGGCAGGAGGATCACTGAGTTCCAGACCAGCCCGAGTTATATAGTGAATTCAAGGTCACCCTCAAGTATGTGAGACCCTGTTTCAGAGAAAAAAATCGTTCTCAGTGGTAAAATATACACATCTTTGGATATATATCTCCAAAAGGTGGAGAACTCAGTAACTTAGCGAGACTGTCTCAAAATAAAAAAAAATTAAAAAGCTGGGGATGTAGTTTAGTGAGATGACCCTGAGTTTAATCCCCAGTATGAGAAAATCAAAACAAAACAAAACAGGGGCCGGGGAGATGGCTCAGTGGAATAAGCGCTTGTCTAGCAAGTGCAAGGGCCTGAGTTCAATCCCCAGTTCCAAAAAAAAAAAAAAAAAAAAAAAAAAAAAAAAAAAAAACAAAACTGGTAATCCAAATAGATAAAACACCCTGGTGGATGGAGTCCGCTAAACCCCAGCCTATGAAAGGGTCCTATAAATGTCCATCAGGAACTAGGTGAAGACGACAAAAGCAAACATTATTAAGTGAAGAAAACCGGAAAAAGAAATACCCAGGCTCCTGAAACTCCTTGCTTTTGAGTCCGCTGCGTTCGCGGGGCGGCACAGCCCAGGTTCGTGAATCCATTGCTCCCGCGGGGCTTGGGCGCGCAATCCCCGGGCTTGCCAGCAGAGGGCGCAGTGGACACGCGCTTCCTCAGCGGGACCGGGAGGCGGGGGCGGCGCGTCCTCAGCGTGGGGCCGGGCCTCGCGCTCACGTGACCCTCGCTCATGGCGGCGGCGGCGGCGGCGGCGGTGGTGCTTGCGGCCGAGCGCCGGAGCCGGATCCTTTAGCCCGGGTGTGGGCCCGTGTCAGTCCGTCCGTCCGCCTGCCCTTCGGCCTCCTCTGTCGTCTTCCGGAGTACGGCTGGCGGAGCCGGGATGGCGGAGCGAGGCCTGGAGCCGTCGCCGGCAGCGGTGGCGGCGCTGCCGCCCGAAGTGCGCGCCCAGCTGGCGGAGCTGGAGCTGGAGCTCTCGGAGGGTAGGCGCGGGCACCCCGGTCGGTCCAGCGGCTGGGGGCGGGAGGCTGGACCCTGAGCGCTGGGCCGGCGGGGACTCGTGCCCGGCTCCACGCCGCGCCTCTCCTCCGCCCCGCGGCGCGTTCGTTGCGGCCTCATTGTTTTCCCTTGTGGGCGCCGGGCTGGGACAGGGGCAGAGGACCGCCCGGCCCTGCTGCTTCTGCGCTCCCCGGCCCTCGCGCCCCAGACAAAGCTGCGCCCTCGGGCTGCTGCCCGGACGCTGGGCGGCGGGGGCGGCGGCCGTGCGCGCTGACACCTTCCTCCTCTCCTCTGGCTTCCTGGAGGGCCCCCGGGCTAGATCCAGCCCACCTCTCCGGGGGAAGCTCGGGCCGGCGGCGGCGCGTCCCTTCCTCCTCCAGCTCTAACTAACAATGCGAGGTGACTCCCTAGGAGCGGAGCGAGCTCGGAGCCGGCGAGCCAGGGGCGGGTGCGAGCGTGGCCCTGACCCGGGGGACGCTCCGCGCTGCCTTCAGACCATCTTTGTCATCAGGGCTTTTTCCTAATGTTTGTGTTCGCGCTGAATTCTCCGAATCTTTTGATCGCCTTTTGGAGCCTCAGGAAGAGAGAGAGGGACGAGGTGACTATCGGTTAAAAGCAAATCCTGGGTATACTAGAAAGGTTGCATTTATTTGGAGAATTTAAAAAATGGGATACAGTAATCAAGCCAGTATTCTTAGAGAGGTCCCTTGAACGACAATGAGAAACAGGGCTCCGTTGCGGGCATGTGATCAGCCTTGTGTGTGCCGTTTTGGTCAGTTCTCTGTAAAGTTCCTGTTTTTGTCACAGGCCGCCTCTGAGACAAAAGCAGCATTTTTCCAAGCTTGGTGTCAGTACTCTGGTGCTGTCTCCAGAGTTACATATTGAGTTCCTTGCTAGAGGCCTTTTTCACTACCATTTTGGAAGTGAATTAAAAACTATTGATTGGAAAAGAAGAATGTGACAGGTTCCCAGGAGAGTTCTGACATTTTTGTGTACTTGCCAAGGTACCAGGGTCTCCCCCGTCTCAAAACCCTTTACAGTGAAAAACCAGTAGATTTGAGTGTTACAGATCCGTTCGGGCATTGAAGGACATAATTACCTTTAATAAGCCTTTTAGACTTTCCCATTGTGTAAAGAGGTACAGTTTTCACCTGCACTTAATTACCAACATATTATTTTTCAATTAATCATTTGGGAAGTGTTTAGGAAGATAGTGATCCTTTGGGCTTGTCTGCCGAGTGCCAATCTTCTTTAGAAATATTCACAGGGTGTAGGTGACCCGACTGACTGAGCTGTAGTTTGTTAAAATATAAATTTCTCCAACTTTTTTTAACCCTTTCAAATTGAGGGGTTTTTGCATTACTCTCTTTAAGAGATCTGCTTCTGAAGCATTGTCATTAAATCTCTGGTGACTTCCGTTCAAATCTTTTGTAAGTTACTTTATAATTACAAATCGGTAGCTCTGATTAGCTAGAAGGAGTGGTTTGGTTGGATGTTTGCCTCAGAGGAGATTAAAAATAGGAGTTGATTGCTTTCACATGGAAAGGGAAAGCCTGGGAGCTCCTTATTCTTGGTGCACATTCGCTTCCAGCCGATTTTGTTTACATCTCTGGGTATTTCTAGACAATCACTAGAAGCATTTGAGAAACTATTTCTAGGACTCACAGTAGATTAGCTCACCTTTTGCTCCTTTAGAGCAGAGGTGTGAAACGCTGACAAACTGTGAATGCCAGTGTTTAAACAGTTTAAGGACGAGTGCATGGTTTGTTTTCCTCTGCAGTATTGTTTTGGTTGGCACATGCCTCAGTTTGAATTTTTTTCTTGTACATTTATACTGTATTATCGTGTATTTTATTTTATTTTTTCACTCTGGAAAAGAGTTGAAAAACCTTGGGCCTTCCCGTGTAAGCCATCTGCTTGTCTCCTTTTTTTTTTTTTTTTTTTATTTGTGTGTGTGTGTGTGTGTGTGGCCAGCTCAGCCCACCAGGGGGCGGGGCTGGCTGGCATGTGGTGCTGGGGGATTGAACCGCGGTCCCTATGCTTTGCTAAGCTTGCTCTAAGTAGGTGCTTTAGACCACTGAGACATCTCACCAGCCCCTGCTTGTCTCCTTAAAGTACAGAGCTGCTTGCCTAGAGAGCAGAGGACATTAGGAATTCAAGCTAACACAGTCCCACAGCCCCCTAACCTGTGCTGTTACCTGAGATGTCTGTAGCATAGTTTGGATTAACCTTGTTTCACAGTTGCTCTATAAATTTTCTTCTCTAACAAAAGTACTTTCCTGAAAAAGAAAATAACTGCATTGCTCTGTAGGCATTGTTGCAGTCATGCTGTCTTTTGTTTTGTGGTTTTTTTGTTTGTTTGTTTTTTTTTTTTTTCAGTTTAAGTCCTAATCATAGGGACGATCTGAGCTGTATGCTGCCCAAGAATTTTCTTCCTGCTCCGTGTGTGCTCAGTTGCTAGCTTTGGCCACAGATGAGCCAGTTCAAGCAGAAACATGGGTTGGTGTCTCCTTGGGGCTGTTTGCTGCAGAGAGTGTTGCAGAGGCTTGGGGTATGTCTAGTACTTAAGGCAAGTCACCATGACATGGTGCTTAAAACCTGCTTCAGCAACAAAAAGGATAGGCTGAAACTATCTAGAGAAGCATTTAGAAACTGAATTAACATGTAATTGTGAGTTTTAGCAGATGTTTAATAGGTATAGGTTTCTACACATATTCCCATAATTGTTCATGATCTGTGTATGTCTGAATTAGACAATAAGCTCTCTTGTCTGAACTTTATTCATATGCACATAAAGTAGCACTCATATTGAGAGTTTGTTTTTAAATCTTTCCACAAATGTTTCTAAAACAAGATTTTTTTTTTTTTTTTTTTTGGTGGAACCAGAATTGAACTCAGGCCCTTGCACTTGCCAGGGAAGCGGTTATTCCACTGAACCATCTCCCCAGCCCAAAATGATTTTCTTACACATTACTATTAAAGCTTCACTAGACTATTATTTATTTATTTATTTATTTATTTATTTTGAGATAGGGCCTCGTTATGGAGTACCAGCTGGCCTTGAGCTCACTTATGTAGCCCATGCTGACCTTGAACTCTCAGGGAACCTTCTGCCTCATCCTCCTGAGGGATATGCCACCACGCCTTGCTCTGCTTCACTAAACTTTTTTTTTTTTAAATTTTGTTTATTTATTTATGTGTGTGTGTGTGTGTGTGTGTGGCCAGCTCAGCCCACCAGGGGGCGGGGCTGGCTGGCATGTGGTGCTGGGGGATTGAACCGCGGTCCCTGTGCTTTGCTAAGCTTGTTCTAGGTAGGTGCTTTAGACCACTGAGCCATCTCACCAGCCCCTGCTTCACTAAACTTAATGATTGGGTAGAATAGGGATTGGTATCTTTTCCTCTCCCCTCCTCCCCGGTGTTTCTCTATAAAGCTGCACATCTAAAAAGTGCTAGTCTCTAATGCTGCCACTTAATTATGGCATCTAAATGATTTAAATATCTATCTGTTATTACACAAGCTGTTAACTATATTTTTACTCTTGGAATAGTCTTATTGATTTTCTTTTTTTTTTTTAATTTTTATTTATTTATTTATTGTGTGTGTGTGTGTGTGTGTGTGTGTGGCCTGCTCAGCCCACCAGGGGGCGGGGCTGGCTGGCATGTGGTGCTGGGGGATTGAACTGCGGTCCCTGTGCTTTGCCAAGCTTGTTCCAAGTAGGTGCTTTAGACCACTGAGCCATCTCTCCAGCCCAGTCTTATTGATTTTCTTTCATAAATTTCTCAAATCTGTCATGTCTGTATGCCAATCAACAGAGCTTTGTACAAAGGTGAGCAGGGTGCTGTGCCAGCTCTCGGGTATGGAGCCTGGTAAGGAAGTCACTTAAAAATATCAGCAAAACAGTACATGAGACCAGGCTGCCTTCTAAGAAAACAGGAAGCTATTTGCTTTGTCGTTGTGAAAAAGAAATAGCAGAGAACTATAAATACAAGATTGGATTGTGTAGTTAGTAGGCAGGGCTGTGATTTAGCCTGTAAGGTGAGCAAAAGAAGGTTGTTAATCACATATATCTGCGGCAGGTCTTTGAAGGAACTCAAGTCTTTAAATGTCTGAGAGCAGTCCAAAGCTGGACTGGAAAGGCATTTAAAGTAACACTTATGAGAAGGTATCCTCCCTTTTGTTTGAATACTTTTTTGATTATAAACAGCAAACATAGACACATCTTCCCTTTCCTTACTTGTATCATTATGTATTTCTGGGGCCCCTTATTTTTGGCCAGAACTAGAGTTGAACCTACAGCTTTCTCAGTGAGGTAGCCCATCCCCAGCTCTTTTTTATTTTTATTTTTATTTAATCAGTTTATTTTTGGGATTGGGAATCCAACTCAAGACCTTGCACTTGTGAGACAGGCACTATTCTGCTGAGCTGTATCCTGGGCACACTTTTATTTTTTATTTTATTTTATTTTTTTCACTTTTTAATTTTTTGAGACTGGGTTTCACTGAGTCAGTAAGTGCCAAGGCTGGATTTCAACTTGTGCTCAGTCTCCCACCGTGCTAGGATTACAGGTATGTACCACCTGTCCTGACTCCCCCGTGGCCCTGCAAGTATAGTTCAGGATACCCTTGCAGAGGGACAAGGGGAGGCTGCTTTCTGGGAGTTGCAGCGAATTCTCCTTAATATAAGAGGTAGGAGAGCCTAAAAGGAAAGGAGAAAATGCTGGATAAAGGCTGTGTTTTAGTTTCAGAAGTGGGCAGGTAGATGTAAGCTGCTGGAAATCAGTGATTCGTTTTGCTTTTCAGTGAATTCTACCCTAGAATGGGAAATAAGGCCTCTTCTCAGCATACTTACAGATTCATAGGCTACACTTGTATCACAAAGTGCATCTAAATAATTTTACTACTTGATACTAGGCATTTTAAGGAAGGCAGAAGTGTAGATTTAAAAAAATTTTTTTTTTCTTTGCAGTGCTGGGGATTGAATCTA